CCCATGGGATGGGCGACATGGAGCCATAATCCTCCTCCTCCTCCTCTTCTTCTTCCTCCTCTTCTTCCGATGAACCTTGACGTCGCTTCCCTCGCTGTAGCTTCGCTCGTTGCTTCAACCGTCATTTCTTCTCCTCATTGTCCTTCTTCTTCTTCTTCCTTTGTTCATCCATGGCATGGTTCACCACCCTCACGGCCACGTGCTCTAGCAGCGGCGCGACAGAGTCCCGGAAGACTAACCCCGCCGATAGCTCAATGAAGCCCGCGTCCGGCCGTATCACAGGATGCCCCAGGATCGGGAACACGGTGTCGGCCTCCCCCATGGCCTCCTTGATGCACTGCGCGACCTCGCTGTCATGGAGTAGCCCCTAGGTAAGCATCGTCCTAATGAGCTGCATACCGGGCGTCATCCCATACAGCGGGAGGACACGCACCATCAGGGGCGCCACCCTCCTCGCGTGATACCCCCCGATGACGCTAGCCCCGCGAAGGCTGTGGGTCTTCAGGAACATGATGGTATCAAGGAGGTCATGCATCCTCTTCTTCTCCTTGACGAGTGGCCCCCACGGCCATGACGGTGGAACCTCTTCGATCCGACGCCCGAAGAAGATAGGTAAGGGAGCGGCAAGGTCGTCCTTTTGATAGAACAAATGCGAGTGCCACCCCTTGTTGGATCTGGAGAGCTGGCAGGGCATGTACCCGGTCGCCCGCTACCCCCGGAGGTGGATGCCCACGCATCCCATCGACATCGGGGTCTCCCGCCCTCTCTCCTTCTTCTTGATCAAGGAGATAGAGAAGAAATATCTGCACAGCTTGAAGTGGGGCTCGATTCCTAGGTACCCCTCCCACATCGTGATGAAGGCCGCGATGTGCTGGATCCCGTTGGGGTTCCAGTGCTGCAGCTCAATCTAATAGTGGTGCAGCAGATCCCAGAAGAACGGGTGGGGAGGAACCGTGAGTCCACGCCCGTGGAAGGGCGCGAAGGAGACGACATAGCCATCGAACGGCGTCGGTGCATCCTCACGGTCGGGCACGGGCCACTCCGCCGCATCGGTCCTCCTGTGGAGAAGACCACGCTTGACGAGTCCCTCCATGCGTGTATGGGTAACATCGAAGCGGTACCATGAATCCATGGAGGATGGAGGCGGTTGCGGAAAAGCAAAGGCGACGGCAGAGAAGCGGAAGCCACAGATCTAGGGCTCTAGCGGTGGATTAGCAAGCATGGCAGATCCAAATGGCGGCGGTGGAGAAACATAGAAGGTAAGACTGTGGTTTTGGTGTGCAGAAACATGAAGAGGGAGGTCGCTATTTATAGGACGGAGCGGGGCAAGAAGGCGAACAGTCCGCCTAGATTCACGTGCTCGTTGCGTCGCATCACATCACCTCCCTTCGAAGATCGTGTGCACGCTATCTCTGGCCGTGCCCTCAAAGAACACGCCGGATGACGGTTCGCCCAATCAATGGGCCAAGAACTGTCATAGGTAAGGTGGGATAAAGAGCTGAAAATTCTCCTACGGTCCATTCAGGCCCAGGAGTTCAAAGGTTGGCCCTCTGACGGGTTCACAGCCGCTCTGGGGCTCCCTTAGAGTGAGGGGTGGAAACGTATGGGCCTACTAGTAGCCAGTACCCGGGCGCACGAGCGCCACGAACATCCCGGCCCACGTTCGAGTCTTGGTCGGTTCCTAGTCCATGGCTCAGCCCCTCCGTTTTATCGAAAAAAATGCTCGAGGGATGACGATCACAAAGACGAGCTGACCCTCGACCGGACCCTTGCCACGTGTGGGGGCTTGAGGGAAGTTGGACTCGCAAGGAGACCGAATGCGCGGTCGCAGTATGACGGCGGACCGATTGGATCCTAGGGGGCTGGAATCAAGAACAACATTTCCGACCTCCTGAATCCTACGGTTACATGCCCCCAAGAAGACCAATCGTGACATAAGAGAATCACCGTTCTACCAGGACACACCCCGGGCTAAAAAAAGAAGGCCAAGGCCCTCAGAGTCCTCCTATCCGAAAAAGCCTCTAAAGGAGTATTCTACTCATCCACAGGCTCGGGGGCTACTGTCGGGTATCGTTATTAGGGATACCCAAAGCAAGGAGGTTAGCGCCCACGCTGACTCCTCCGGATGGCTCGAGACATATTAAAAGGTCTCGAGCGACCCCAAGGCCGCGGGCTCTGTCTCACCCAAGTCGCGGGTTCCGTCTAGCCCAACCCCTCGGGTGCGGGCTCCGTCTCACTCGACCCTAAGGCCGTGGGCTTCGTCTCGCCCGACCCCTTGGGGGAGGGCTCCGTCTCACCCGACCCAAGGACACGGGCTCCATCTCGTCCAAGGTCGTAGGTTTTGTCTCGCCCGACCTCTCGGATGCGGGCTCCGTCTCGCCCGACCCTAAGGACGCGGGTTCCGTCTCATCCGACGGGGACCCATACCGACGTCAACCACTCCAGGTCCAAGCGTATGGGCCTGGGTCAAAACTCTGACACCAGAAAAGAGGCTGGCATGCCTCGATGTAACCTATGACCATGACGGGCTATACCTGGCGATTCACATCAAGAACACTGTCGAGCAAGCCGATACTGTTCTGCCTAATCCTCGTACGGACGCTGACAGGTGCGTCAGTTCACCACGACGTCCGCCGGGACGGAGTGGAACGCCATGACCGGCAGATGATGCATGCGCATGGCGCCAGTGACGAACAGGGCCGCGACGTGGAGCTGTCCCTGTTGACATCTACAGAATCGGCGGGACCCACATGAAGGAGAAGAAGGACTCGACAATCTTGGAAGCCTTCTTCTCTCTCTCATTCTTCTCTTTTTCCTCCGCTGTAACCCGCGCTTTCCCTTCGCCTATAAAAGGGGAAGTAGGACGCCCCATGAAAGGGGGCCGGACCACGAGATAAAAACACAAGAGCACGACACGAGCACACGGCTGAACGGCAATCGAGCTCTCAGCACTCGTTCACTCCTTCCACCATAGACTTGGGATCCTTTTCCTCTCTCGTCTGTTTGTAACCCCTACTGCAAACCAATGCCGGTAACACGAGCAACAGCGAACTGGATGTAGTGACGTTACGCCCGAACCAGTATAAACCCTTGTGTCTTCCGAGCACACCATCCGAGTCAGACGCGAAAATACAAATTTACTTGTCGGTGGTCCGAAAACACCGACAACAAGTATATTCGTCAAATAAAAAACTTGAATTTAAATGAATAAGTTTTACCCTAAGAACACACAAACTGTTTGCCTATAATATACCACTGGTGACACCTCACTCACAGACTAACAAGTCAACAACGTATTGTACTCGACTCACATAACTAGTAATGTACAAACGTTAATCGTAACCCTGGTTAGGCCTTGACGTGCACGTCAGCAACGTAAGCGTGCAGCCGCTGTCACCCGTGCTCCCTCTTCCATGTGACCCTGTTCTCTCCCTGCCACGGCGGGAACGAACCAAAGGACGACCCGCTTTCTGTGGCTCGGGCACCGGGCCGCCCGAACCGAAAAGGAAAGGGGGCCCCGGGCCTGGCGCACAGTCAGAAGGGCTCAGGGCCTCAGGCCGCACACTTGACGCCGTTATGCTGGTCGGCCTCCTACCGGCCCGCCTGCTTCTGTACTGGCAGAATCTCCCAAACGTAACGGAACTGAACGGGATGACCGGAGCGGAGCAGTAGTCCGTAATAAACAACACACGCCTCGTGCGCTTCCTTCCCCTCCCTCCCTCCCTCTCCCTCTGTCTCTCGGCTTCCTCGCTTGCCTGTCTCCCTCCCCTCCTCGCTCGCTGGTTCGCTCCGGGCCTCCGTCTCCCTCACCAGTCACCCCACCCACTTCCACCCTCCCGTCGTTCCTTTCCTCTGTCGGCCGGCTCCTCGTCGCGTGGTCTGAAGGGAAGCTGGCCCAGAGGTGGAAAGAGCTAACCCCGGTGAAGGAATCTGAGCCACCTGCGCTCCGATCTGTCTTCCGAAGGACGCGGAGGGAGGAAGGCTCCGGATCGGGGATTTGCGTCCTTCCGCCACGCCCTGATGTGAGTTCTCTCTCTCACCCGAGCGCGGTGGTCCGATTTGTGGGCTTACCGTCTTGATTTCCCTGATGCGTCCATTTCCCGCGGTAGGGATGTGATGTGAGAAGAGGCGTCGTTTTTTTTTTCTGCGCGTTTCTCGTCGGGATGTTCGCAAAAATGTTCCGGGGGTCCTCTGTCTCATATTCAAATTCCGCTTATTAGCAGTGCCGGTGAAGAGACCGTTCTGTACTCGTGTTGTCGAGAGCTTGCTAGCTGATGTCGCTGCTTCCGTTGCAGACCTGTTAGTGTTAGATCTTGTGTCCATCTCTTTCGATTTTTTGTAGCCCGTCGATTTGTTACTCGATTTATTCCTTAAAAGGTCTCTCCTTTTTTACCCACTCCCACCTTTGATGAATCAGGGGAAAAGGGTTCCTTTTGATCTTTTGACCACGGGGCGCCTAATTTCTAGCCTAGGACTGGGTTTGGCCGTACGGGGGCCGAAGTTTCTTTCTCGAAATGTTGCAACATGCCACCAAGAATGGTTGGTGACATGGTGTGTGATGCACTGATGCGACTTCTCCGGAATTAAAATGTTCTTGCCCTTCTCTGTTCTCCCGCAGCTGCACTCCACAAATTCTGTTGTGATATATGTATCAGTTTTTTTTTTTTTACTCTCGGAGACCCTGTCTCCCGTGTGTTCAATCGTGATGAGCTGTACTTGGAATTGATCTATTAATAATCATAACATATGTCGCTAGCTCTACGCTATGCTATTATTCACACGCTTTCACATCTAAGATTCTTTTCTTCGCGCAGGTCCAAATCGGCGATTGCTTCCGTGTAGGCACACTCAAAAGCAGTATTTCCCTGTGGGGTGGCGTGATCTCCACTGTTCTATCAGTGGAGCAGCCACGAAGGCTGTCGGAACCTTCCCTGTTACATATTCGCAGGCTAAGCCCCAAGTTTCTTGTAGGCTTTACTGCGCTGTTCTAGTTGGCGAAGATGTCGTTCCGCAGCATCGTTCGTGATGTTCGGGACAGTTTTGGTAGCCTGTCACGGCGCAGCTTTGAGGTGACTATCGCTGGCCTTTCTGGGCTCACCGTGCATCACAGGGGGAAATCTCAGAGCACGGTGCATGAACTCCGTGATACGGATCTCATAATTCAGGAGAGCCGTTGGGCTAATCTCCCTCCTGAGCTCCTCCGTGATGTGATCCGGAGGCTGGAGGCTAGTGAGAGCACCTGGCCAAATCGCAAGCATGTTGTGTCCTGCGCTGCTGTTTGTCGGGCATGGAGGGAGATGTGCCGGGAGATTGTGCTGAGCCCGGAATTCAGTGGGAAGCTTACGTTCCCAGTCTCTCTAAAGCAGGTATGCTTAAATCCTTGACCTGATTACCTGAATGCTTTTGTGAATGATATTATGTACCTAATGATAGCACTTCCCAATACTTATTCTTATGTCTTTCATATTATTACTAACATTTGATAATGTTTGTCTTCACAGCCTGGGCCTCGCGATGGAATGATTCAGTGTTTCATAAAGCGAGATAAATCAAAGTCCACATATCATCTCTACTTGTGCCTGAGCACTGGTATGTTGTGCCTTTCTTTTGCTTGTATGAGTAGATCGTTTATTGTTTTTTGAATTCCTACGATGATTGATATTTTGGCAAATATCTGCTAGCATCAAGTCGACATTCTGGTCCTCTGTTCTGCCTGTGTCTTTCTGTCATTTCTGCCCAACATTTCTTCGATTCGGAATGTAATTGTTGATTCGCCTTACTTTTCTGCATCAGCTGTACTTATGGAGAATGGCAAGTTCCTCTTATCAGCTAAAAGGAACCGCAAAACAACCTGCACGGAGTATATTATCTCGATGGATGCTGACAACATATCAAGATCTTGCAGCACATATATTGGAAAGCTGAGGTAATAGAATTGAAATGCAAGTGAATGGGTAGCCTTTCTTGTTTTTGCCTGGTTTATTTGATTGTGTCAGCTAATTGATGTATTTCTTGTCATTTCCAGGTCAAACTTCCTCGGCACAAAATTTATGATCTCTGACACACAGCCCCCTTATAGTGGGGCTGTAGTCCCTCATGCTGGCCGGACAAGCCGAAGATTCAACTCCAAGAAGGTCTCCCCTAAGGTGCCAACTGGTAGCTACAACATAGCTCAGGTGACATACGAGCTAAATGTTCTTGGCACGAGAGGCCCTAGGCGGATGCACTGCGTCATGCACTCCATACCTGCCTTCGCAGTTGAGCCCGGTGGCATAGTCCCTGGACAGCCTGAGCAGATTCTGCCCCGGGCATTAGAGGAGTCCTTTCGCAGCACCACCTCCTTCTCCAAGTCATCCATCATGGACCGGTCCATGGACTTCAGCAGCGCCCGCTTTTCTGACATTGCCGGAGGCGCCATAGCTGGCGACGAAGAGGGACAGAACAAGGAGAGGCCGCTCGTGCTCCGCAACAAGGCCCCGAGATGGCACGAACAGCTGCAGTGCTGGTGCCTCAACTTCCGTGGCCGTGTAACCATCGCCTCGGTGAAGAATTTCCAGCTGATCGCCGCGCCAAGCCAGGCCCCTACCCCTGCTGCCGCTGGGGCTCCAACCCCATCACAGCCTGCTCCGCAAGACCAAAATAAGATCATTCTCCAGTTCGGTAAGGTGGCGAAGGATATGTTCACGATGGACTACCGCTACCCGCTCTCGGCCTTCCAGGCTTTCGCCATCTGTTTGAGTAGCTTCGACACCAAATTGGCCTGCGAGTAAATTAGACGCCGTAGAAGCAATGGAACAGTCCGGAGCTGGAAATGCACAAGAGGAGAGAGATGCATTTGGCCGTAGGATTTTAGTTTGATGCTTTTGCTTTCTGTTGTTTTCTCTCGTGGTTGTTTTCTGCTTCCTGTTAACCTGGAACAACCTGACTTCTTCGCATGTATGTTTCACCTGCTGGCACCACGGTAGGTGCCATTCGTGTAATGTGCAAAAGATTCCGCCCTTACGTGAATGAATTGTTTTCGAGCTTTTCGAGCTAGTGCATGTGCATGGCAGCATGGGTACTTGCGCTGTTATACAAGAGCAAGTATAATAGCATGGCTGGAAACCGGCTGTGAGGTGAAGGAGAGAGAAGAGAAGTGGAGGAGAGATGAGAGGAGACAGAAGAGAAGAGAAACGGACTGTAAGCTTAGCTGGTTTAAACACAAGAACCGAAAAATTTTGTAAGAAAGACAACTGGATCATGTATTAATAGTAAAGAGTTAATTACTATATGAGTGAGCTGAGAGAATGACTACATGCTCTCGGTGAAAATGAAGCTCTCGGTGAAAATGAAGCTTGACTTCGCATGATGGAGCCTTGCTAGCTCTGGTTTTATTACAGTTCCAATATGGTTTGGTCACCGGTCATCATGGGTCATGGCATATGATCTGCAAACGCGCCGCCCATGTTTGCCGCGTTGAAGTACGGTGGTTATGTCTGATGGGAGAATCATTGTACATGTGTGTGCCCCTTTTTATGTCAGCAACAAAGCTGTTCTGTTGAGCTTCTTTAGGTTGAGCTTTTTTCGCCCCACTTCTTTTTTTTATATATATAAATAAGGTCGAACACTTTCTGCGTGGATGAAGAGTGCACATTTCTGTAGCCACAAGGAGGAGCAGTACAGCTAGGACATGTGATGAAGAAGAAAGGGCCGGCGCATCAAATACGAACCCATGATGAGTGTGACTGGGTGAAGGAATGATCTCCTCTGTATGCAGCTGCAGGTGAGTATGTGACTTGAGTACAGGTCCCGTTCGTTCGCTGAAAAGTACCGCTGAAGTAGTGCCGCGGAACAGGGCTATACTCAGTTTCCAATAAATAAAGAGTGTGTCAAAGCTGAGTGCATAGAACTGGACCATGGGTGAATAATGGATCCACACACTTTTTCTTCCAGGACAGGAAACAAAGCGCATTTGTGGCTTGCTTGGACGGCATGAGCGCGAGAAATGATGGGATGCATTGTGACCCGGCAATCATTCCCGGTGCCACACGAGGGGCTCTCGCCTCCCAGAACGGTGGCAGGCAGGACGAGCCCTGAAGTCCAGTGGCCTCATCACTAGATCGGCAGTGGCTACCAGGCTTGGTGCTCAATATGATTCACGAGGACCGCTTCTCCTCGACGAGGTTTCTGGTGTGGTGTCGGTGTGTGATCGCGTCTGGGTATTCAGATCCAGTAGGAGATCGAACCGAATATCTCGGTTTTAACTTTTAACTGGGTGGAGGTGCGGACGCGTTCGTGCGATGCAACTCGGCGAGCATCACTCCCCTGTAGGCTAGCTCACTCAGGTGGGGGAATTTCTGATCTTGTCTGCTCGCTTTTCTAGCCGATTCTCTCTCGTGGGCAGCGTGCTGGTGCCTGGTGGGGCGACGCGGTGGAATCCCACTGCCACTAACCATGGTGGCGAGTCGACTGGCAAGTGCGATGCGATGGGAAGAAGGATTCTCCTTCGCCGTCGTAGCGAATGATGCCCGATGCCCGATGGTATAATACGGTGTTCTGGCTGCTCTGGTCGCCAGATTCTCTCCGTTGCTGCCCGGGGTCTCGAACTGCATGATTGAACCGCCTTTATATCTTGTGGCGGGGGGCCTTGGCTGCTTTTCCCAAGTGGAACATCCATGGATTTTCAGTTTCCGAATAGGGGCGGGCTCCAGGTTTGGTATAATCGACTTGCTTTGAATAAAATTTTGGTGGGTCGCCAGGCTCAATCGCACTTGTGAGAGTGTCAAGTGTACAACCACGCAAAACATCGTTGAAACATAAATCCTCGATTTGCTCTTGCTTGCATGATGTCAAATAGGGCCTAAAATTGTGGTCATGACACTATATTGTTATCAAAGTCACTTATACCTTTTCATATGCATTCTTGCTCGAGTTGGATGATGAAAAATTCTCCGGGTCATTGATGTAGAATAACTATAATAGATAAGAGAGCATCTACTACAAAGTAAAAAGCAAAATAAGTCTATATAAGATTCAAATAGTTTTAACTTAGACACCATAAGATAAGATATGATATGCTTTGAATAAAATTTTGGTGGGTCGCCAGGCTCAATCGCACTTTGTGAGAGTGTCAAGTGTACAACCACGCAAAACATCGTTGAAACATAAATCCTCGATTTGCTCTTGCTTGCATGATGTCAAATAGGGCCTAAAATTGTGGTCATGACACTATATTGTTATCAAAGTCACTTATACCTTTTCATATGCATTCTTGCTCGAGTTGGATGATGGAAAATTCTCCGGGTCATTGATGTAGAATAACGTGTTTCCAGGCTGTTCTTGCGTTTGTGAGACGTGACCTCGTGGGCCTTAGTTTTTTTTTTGGTCAGCGAATGCCGTGGCCTGTGGCCCATAAAATTGGAAAGCCAGCAGCGACGAGGCCGGTCTCGTAACAACCATGGCCCATCGCTAATGAACGGGTTCACTCACGGGCTATTATTCGGCCCATAACCGTCAGCCCTACAATGCCTCCGCCCGCAGCCGCTTGTAAGAAGATGCGGCCCGTTTACGCGGCGTGGCCTTCTGATTCCTCGGGAGCAGCGCCGACCCTCCAACGCCTAAGGCCCCGTTTAGATCCAAAATGTTTTGGATTTTGAGTTACTGTAGCATTTTCGTTTGTATTTGATAATTAATGTCTAATTATAGACTAATTAGATTCAAAAGTTTCGTCTCGCGATTTCTCATTCAACTATGTAATTAGTTTTTTTTTCATCTATATTTAATACTCCATATACCGTAAGATTCGATATGACAGATACTGCGTAAAATTTGTTGAAATCTAAACATACCCTAAAAAGCAGGCCCCGAAGTACTTGCTGGCACTGGCAGGGCAGCAGCGGCATAGTTCCTTCAAATTGAATTTGGCACTATACAAAAATAAGATTCCTCGTCACATCAAATTTATGATACCTGCATAAAATACTAAATATTGACGAAATTAAAAATTAATTATACAATTTAATTGTACTTTACGAGACGAACATTTTAAGTCTAATTAGTCAGTGATCAGACAATTATTAAAAAAAATAAAAACAAGTAGCTACTGTGATTTCGTCGGCGCCGATTCGGGCGAATGGCCGAAGAGGGTTTTCCGCCGCGCGGTTTCGGGGTGAGGGTGAGGCGGAAACCCTCGTCTCCTCCACGCCGTCCGTGAGGAGGGTTCCGTCGCTCCGGTGTGCCGGCGGCATCGACCCCCCGCCCCTTCGCTCGGGAGGTTCTCCGATCTCGCTTCCTACGTTTGATTTGTTTTTTTTGAGAGATCACGGTTGATTTGTCTCTCTCCCTCTGCGTCTGGCCTGTTTCAGTTTTGCCATGGTTTTGAAACATCAATCGAGATCGCGGCGTGGATGAGTCTTTTTTCCTGCTTTCCTGTTACTGACTTTTGCGGCGATATTTGGATTTTTGCATTTTCCCGATGATGATGGCGATGGCCCTCTCCGACCTGTTGAATGGATGGATGGATAGATAGATCGGATCGGATTTGAACTCCACGGGGTCACTCCTTTGCGTTTGCAAGGTCGGAGTTCCTTGAATGGCTAATGCAGGGTCGGCTCCTCCGTCTTGTGGGTGTCGAAGCCTGCTCAGGTACCGGATGCTCACTCACTCTACTGACAAGTGGGACTGCCCTTGTGGCAGGCTTATCGCCTCCTCCTCTTCCTAAATCCTAAACCCTAAACCCTACACTGCATTAGCTTCTGATGGAAATCAAACGAGCTTGTCAATCTGAGGGCTATTTTGCAAAGAAAACATTTCTGCGTGTCCATTGGATCTGACTTGAGGATCTCTTGCAAAGCAAACATTTCTGTGTGTCAATTGGGATTGACTTGCGGACCTCTTTTTGAGAGACAAATTTCAGCGTGCTGAGGTTTACTACCTTGTTGTAAGAAATGATTTTGCTGGATGAAGTATTTATCTTTGAATGAACACATCACTCATCCCTGTGCCTCATGTATATTATCGCTACTAGTTGCATAGTTCAAATTCTAATTCTACTATTATAGTTGCTCGTCTTGCTTATCCACTGTTTTTGTTGAGCGTTAATGAATTAATAACCATAAAAACTGTACTACACATATTGATACTGTTACGGTTGTATCAATTTATTTTAGGCCATTTTCAAGTTTCACTATCTTGTTGCTTGATTTGCTTTTGCTCCGATGTTGATGAGACTTGTGGATTGATGAATAAATGAGCTGAAATGGCTTGTGCTGTTTTGCCATCTCCACAGTCCACATTCTCGGTGCTTAGGCATGCTGAAGTATTTGATGAGATCAAGTAGCCAAACTGACGACTGGCCCATTGTTTTCTTTTCTTCCTCGTCCTCCTAACCTCTAGTTGTCAGTTGTCACTGCTGGCATAATCGCAGTCATGTTCTTCTACCGATCATCCCCGGGGCATGCTCCACTTCCAATGTTGGAGCCTGCTGCATTAGCCTTTGATGAAACATGGCATATCATGCCTATCGCATGGTCTGAGGCCATTTGGCAGTGTAGACCATTGGTTAGTTTGATTTTCTTTCCCTTTTTGTGATGAACTTATCTGTCCGAGGCCTCAATGCCCACCTTCATTCGGTTCTATCATGGAGAGCTAGGTGTCATTCTCAAGTGGAACTTGGTCTTCTGTTGTAAGATGGGAATTGCAGGCATTTTGTGATCCTTTTTTTTTTTAAAAATATGTTTGTGGTTTCACCTCTCCTGTCACCTTTCTTTTTTATTCGTTTTCTTAAACTTAA